CACACACACCCCCAACACCACCTTCACCCTACATCTCCCACCCCAAACACACACATTCCAACAAGGGAATTAAGACAGCAAGCATGAGAAGTGAAGGTCTTATTGTATGACACATTTGCGTGTATGTGACTGCATGGTTGCGAGTTAAATATCAGCTGTTGAGAAGCACTTGGCAACATTCATTTCCACTCCATCTCTCTTATTACCCACACCTTTCTGCTTTCTCACTCCAATTTTTAAAATGTTATGTAATGCAATGTTGAAGGTGACACAACTTTGCTCATTTATACTTATCACAATCTCCCTAAAAATACTTTAGCTTTCATGTTTATTCAAGACATCTTCAGGTCATGAGACCCACTAATCCCCCATCCAAGAAAGGGTGACCTGACATTTCATCAGACGGTCAGTAATATGAGACCACTAATCCCCCACCCTACCTCCACCTGACATAGCATCAGGTCAGGTCAGTTACATGATACCCACTAATCCCCCACAGCTCCATCGGAGTGTAAAATAACAGTCTTTGTTGTAACACACAGCTTCATTCATATTCATACCCTTTATATTTTTAATGTTTAAATATATTTATTTAACCAAACTTTTAAATAAACTAGTCTGGATTATCACAGTAAAGAAATGGAGTTTCTTACTTAATTAGAACTGTATTTATGGAAAACATCCCCTGCACCCAGAAACGTTCTGGGGAAGTGGGCTAGTGTCCATCTGTGCAAGATGTCTCGCTTAGACACTCAGAAACTTTTCCCAGCAACTGGAAAAGATTCCGGGGATAAGGAATTTCTCCGGGTTTGAAAAAGTCGTCTGGTAAGCTGGAAATCTCTCATCCCTGGAAGTGCTCTACACCAATTGTTCCGGCTAACGGGGATATCACTGTACTAGTCTTTGTTCCACACTAATAGATAGCATTATTTACTAGTGAGACTGGGCCATATTCTCAATCGTCATGCCCGATGGTGTACCCGGCCATCGGGCACCATACGTTTGTGTGGGACGAGGTCATTCAAGAACGTGCTTCAGGCAATACGATGGGTCAGGATGGCGATGTACCGGGCAAGGCTACCAATATTTCCAAATCAGCTGGTTGGCCTAATGTTACCACAACCCAGGCACTGAGTACCCCAATAATATTTCCCTCAAACCCACACATACAAAAAAAAATGTAATCACAACCCCCCAAAAGAAAATAAACAATAAAAAATGCACATCATATGACCAAATGAACATAAAAAGTGTTCAGAGAATATCTATGGGATATATAAATTATTATTCTCTGGTGTTTGTGAGGTTTGTTTTGATGGTTATATTTCACCAGGTGTTGGCCACACTGGGATAGCCAGTGGTTGGCGTACAGTGAGTAAGCTGACACAACAACACGGCTTAGTGTTGTTGTGCAAGCTTATAATCAGCGAGGAATATTTGACACTTGTAAATAAATGACAATCTTTGAATGTACAGTAAAATCTCAATAATTCAGACTTCAATATATCAGATTTTGCTTTTGGGGGACTGAGAAGCTCTGGTCACCAGTAATAAAAAAATGGGAAAGATTAACAAAAAAAACTCTTATGAAATGAACAACACTTACTGAGTACTGTACAGTGGTCTAATCAGATTTGCTATAGGCCTACTGAGAACTAAGACACTTGAGTATGTAAGCAGGCTGGGGCTAATCAGGTGTTGCTGCATTCGTCGGGTTTATCTATTTATTGAATCAGTATTATATTCTCATATGTTTGGCCTCTTATGGTTTATGGTTCATCATGATTAATATAACATCTTCAGTAATAGAGAAAAAATAAAATAGTGTATGTAATTTGTAATATGAATTGAAAATAAAAGGATAAGCTGTATCAGAAAGTTATTTACTCAAGACGCATTCATGTGAGAGTTTTCAGAAGACCAGCTTACAACAGGAATAACTATAACGCACTGTATAGTAGTTGATATGAAGATACCTTCCTAAAAACGTTATTTACTACCTTTGTGTGTTATATGAAGACTCAGTTTGGCTACTTGTACAATTAGACAAATAATTAATGAATAAACCAGGGTATATGCAGATGCATAATACTTTACACTAAAATATTACTTATTGATGATAAATACACTTCAATAGTATTTATTAAGTGATGATAAATACACAACTGTTGTGTACTAATTTACTAAGTGTTGAAGACAGACATTGTGGTAAGCCGATCAGCTGTGTGGTCTTTCAAAATAATATTTTAATAACCTGGCACCAAATGATCCTAAATTATATGAGAATTGTGGTGGAATTGCATAAAGAAGTGCTCAAGAAAGCTTGTGGGAGTTAGGGGAGGGAGCAAACCACCCATGCTACCCTGCTTCCTTCTGCCAGCTGCTCCAAGATAAACATTCATCTTCCACATACAATATACTCCTACACTTATTTGTTCATATTTTTATCTTTATAATACTGTACAGTATACAGTTTTCTCTTTATTCATAAGACAAATTCTGTGGTTACTTACATATAACACTTTGCAGTAAATAACAATCATCTCGGTGACAACAGTTGTTGACAACCTGAGTTTTATGTTTGATTTTCAACCCAGAGAGTTCTGTTTTATATTTTGTTGTTGTTGATGTAATATTCTTTTAATAATCTTGTTATATACTTAAAGACCTTTGTTGTTGAAGTGCAGTAATAACATAACAACAACTGATTTTCTTTAAACAGTTCAGATAAGCAGTGTTATCTCCCCCACCCCCGCATTTTTCAAACTGGGATATAGCCCAATCAGTCCGATTTATTGAGGTTCTACTGTATATATATATATATATATATATATATATATATATATATATATATATATATATATATATATATATATATATATATATATATATATATATATATGTATGTATGTATGTATGTATATATATATATATATATATATATATATATATATATATATATATATATATATATATATATATATATATATATATATATATATATATATATATATATATATATATATATATATATATATATATATATATATATATATATATATATATATATATATATACAGTAAAAGTCCAAAAATCCGGATGCCAGAAATCCGGACCACCCGAGAATCCGGACTTTTCAAAAACTATTTTTTTTTTAGCGGGCATTTGTGTGCATTTGCGCATGCGTGAGCGCCACAGTTGCACAGCGACAACAAGCGACCACGTGGTCGCCACTTTAAAATGGGCAATCAAACTGTGACAACATACCGTATATACTCGTCTATAACCCCCCCTCGTTATCAGTCGACCCTGATTTTTTGACCAAGAAATCGTAAATTTATGATATTCCTCGTTTATAGTTCCACCCACGTTTTTGAGGGTAATGGAACAACAAAACCACTAAAAGCGCTCTACGTCCTATAAACTGAGGCTCGCCATGCATGAAACACAAGTGCTGAAGGCAAATTGTTTACCATTTATTATTACGACACTTTACACTGAAACCCGGGTAGTTTCAACAAAAATATTGTATATTTCCATTCAAGTATTTATTCAAGTCAATTAGGAGGGAATATTATTGAAATACAACAGTTTTTAAACTAAACCATTCGAAAAGCGATTACGGTAACATCTTTTGAACGAAAGAAAGCGAAAGTCATTGTTTTCGTCATGATTTTATCCCACTTTCCACTGTAATACGTATGTAATTTCAGGAAAAATATTACATTTCCGTGAATGTATTATATCAAGCACAGTATAATAGAATATCATTGTAATATATCAGAATTTTAACCGAAAACTATTAAAAAAACGAGTAACATCTGAAGAACATCGGAAGCTTTGGTAAAGTCTTTTGTTTTCGTCATGTATTTTATCCTATTTTACATTGAAATACGTCACGTTTCCACAAAACTACTATTTATCTCCGAGAATATATTCATTCAGGCGCAGTTTAGGTAAAATAGACGAGTGACGTAATAGTTTTTTAACTGAAACCGATTCGAAAAACACGTACCCTCTAGCCCTGTTCAAAGAGAGGACTGGGAGAAGCTGTTTGGTGCTGCAGATGATGACAAGGAAAATGATTTTGATGGATTTTAATGAAAATATTCAGAAATATGGTATCGTAGTATTTATTCAAGTCAATTAGGATAGAATATTATTGTAATAAAACAGTTTTTGAACTGAAAACCATTCGAAAAGCGATTACAGTAACATCTTTTGAACGAAAGAAAGCGAAAGTCATTGTTTTCATCACGATTTTATCCCACTTTCCACTGTAATACGTACGTTCAGCAAAAATATTACATTTCCGTGAATGCATTATATCAAGCACAGTATGAATAGAATACCATTGTAATATAACAATATTTTGAGTCCTACTCTTTCCATTTACAGAGTACTGTACAAGCCCATAATAATGGCTCCTAAAGTAGATAAACTTCATTGTGTGAAGAGAAAGAAGAACACATTGAAATTGAGTGACAAACTTGAAATAATTAAGAAACTAGATCGTGGTGTGAGCAATACTGTTCTAATGGAAACATACGACATTGGAAAGTCTACAATTTATGATATATAAAAGGCAAAGAATAAAATTTAGAATTCACAGCTTTTTCATTAAAACTGCTCGTTTTGATAAATGAAGCATGCTATATTTGCAAATGAATAAACTATCAAAATAAAAGTAACAAAATTTCTGATCTCATATTCAAAATTATTTAGGTTCACAGCCTGTGGTGGGATTCAAAATTTGTTCTCCAACAACACTACACTGCACCCATTGTAAGCCAATGGTCATTCAACCTGCATCAGTGTAACAAGTTAAAACTATAAACTTTACCAGCACATACACCATCCAGTGAAGTGAAGAAAATCTATAGGTCATATTTGATATCCCATACCAGTCATACAAAAGGACAGTAAGACATTACTTAAAAGACATGCTGAACAATAAACACAATTTACATCAATAACCATGATAGTATCTTCATGCATACCTTTCTCATTACCACCCTCAATAGTAAAGAGAATTCTGCCATTTGGTGAGGCTGGATCATCACCATCAGAAGCTCTTACAACAGTTACTGTATCTCTAGGTTCATGGAACTCTGTGATCATTGTGCAGCCATCACGTTCTTCAAAAACTGGGGCTTCATCATTTATGTCTGCAATTGTTACACTGAAATAAAAGGTTTTGAAAATAATCTACAGGTTACCCTTTGTGCTACTAGCATATAACAGTAAAATATAGATAATTTTTACTCGCCTTCAAGATTCAGTCTGACGAGAAACATATACTGTGTACAGTATTAAATAAAAGCAAACACCTGTTAAGAATGAACCATCCTTCATGTCATTTCCCTTGTCCTCTGGGTGTCACCCAGTGAAGCAAGAAGATTTAAATTAAATTAACTTGAAGATTTAAGTAATATATATTAATCAACTTTACATGTCACAGTATGACACTAAGTAATCCTAGCATAATCTGCCTACCACTGGGCTAACCATGCATGACTGGATGAAAAGAGCAAGTGTTAAGATAAACTTTTTAATTAAAAATACAATCACATTGTATGGAAATTATAAAGATATGCAATATAACAATGAAAATATTTTTTTCTGTTTGACAGAAGATCAATTCCATTTTAAAACATATTGATAACAATCAAAGCACAACCTAAAAAATTTAAATATCAAATAATAAACCCATTCCACCTTTTCTACTGACTGTCTCACTTAATCATTTTATTATGCCTACTGCCACACAATTTTATTTACCCTTAAGGAAACCTCTAGAATCCAAAGGACTAAACCCCTTTTTAAATAGTAATCACTTACCCTATCTGCATGAAGGCATTTCTGGACTCGCCAGTAGAGTATCCAAACTGGTAATTATCCCAAGCTTCAATGAGAAGGTTCATGGTACTAAGTTCCTCACGATTTAGTGCAGAAGCCACTGTGATAACACCAGTATCTGGATTAATCTGACAAAAGAAAAAATTAATGAATTATAAAAATCCATATATTTATGAGCTCAACTAATTTTCAAAATTAGTCATGTCTAGTTAAGGTGTGGCAACTCAAAATAAAGCCAATTATAATTTCACAGCACGGGATTGAAGGCTATCATCTAAAAATTGGTGCAGAGCAGTTCCAGGAATGTGAGATTTCCAGGTATGGAGACAAATTTTCTCATCCTGGAATTTTTCTGGGAAAAGTTTTCTGAGATTCTAAATTATGCATCTCATGTGGACAGACACAGAGCTGTATTTATTTATGCAAATACAGTACCAATGTATAAATACAATATATTGTAAATAAACAAAATAATGTACTGTACAGTATACTACTAGTGTACAGTATATTCTGTACTCACTACATACGCATACCAAAGGGGGCAATTACCCCTCCTTGAGTAAATAAATTAATCTAAATAAACCATTTTTAACAATAAAGGAAAAATAATAGCAATAACAAAATTAATAAAAATGATAATGTCACAAATGGAATGATGGGCTCATCATGAATGCAAAGAAAAATACTAATTGTCTCATATTTCAACAATACCTCGGTATGTTTCATTCAAAGGTGCCCCCCCCCCCAGTCAAATTTCTGAATACACTACTGACTCCCCAGCAGATGCATTACAAGCAAGCAGGCTAAATGGTGAATGATAATACAGGATGGCCTGCTTTTGTCCTGTACCACCTCCTGTAGTAGATGTTGATAACTGTCACTCTCCTCTCCCTGCATGAAGGAGGAATTATACCCAAAATGTATCCTGTACATTCACACTTTACACACTAGCATAGTGTACACTGTCCACTCTGTTATGTACAGTACAGTACAGGTATACATAACTGTAATCACTTTTCATATCTTAACACTGCTTTAAATAACTTCTTTAATCGTGTTCTTAGCTGATTATTTGCTGGTACAGTAATGTACAATATTGCACAACATAGATTGTATGTGAAAACAGCAGTGAGCAAGAAAACAAGATTGTACAATGGCAGCAAACACTGAACTAAGAGTATCATGATGCAAAAGTTTGAGGAGATAGGCTGTGAGTGAGATACATCAGCCAATCATAGGCATCCCATGCAGTCACATGACAGCAGTGGCCAATTGTAGCTGACGAGCACTCTGAGCCTACCCACTCACGTGCCCAGCAGTCCCTCAGAAATTCATTCCCATGCCTAGAATGGAGAAATTTTTCCTGGCCATTGCAGAGTTCCGGGGATCAAAGATTCCTACTACAGGTAGCAAATAAGTATAAAAAAAAGAAAAATACCATTTCAGAAATCTATGTTTTGCTTATCACAAAAGACTCTTAAGTTTATATATTATCAGAACTCAAAACTGGGAACATTCAGCCTTACCTTAAATTTGCCATGTGAGGATTTTCTATCAAGAAGGTATGTTACAAGTCCATAATCATCATAATCTGGGTCAACAGCTGTGACAATTGCTACTTGAGTACCAGGTGGTGCATCT